AAAAAAAAAAAAAAAACTGCCTCATGCCAGCCTCTCAGGGTATGGAGGGAGCCGAGCAAGAGAGGGCCTTGCAGCAGCTCCTAATAGGCCTCCCACCTCTCACATTCCAGGAAGGTCACAGGCGTTCTGCCAACACACACATGAGCTGCAATGCAAGTCTTTGCTGGTGGATCTACGTGGACATGTTCAAGGTCATCAGAATGCCAGAATAGAGCCAGTCCCTCATAGTAGGACTGGTCCTTCACATATTAGGATGTTTAGCAGCACCCATGGCCTGTACCCATTAAATGCCTAGAGCACCATTCCCCAAGATGCAACAACCAAAAATGTCTCCAGACATTCTAACTATACCTTAGGGGGCAAACACTGCACCTAGTTGAGAACCACTCACCTAGAGCCCTATCTACTTCCCACGCTCACACGATATATTTCATCTGCAAATACTTCAGTGCGTATTTCTAAAATAAAGTTTTTAAAAACATAAACACAATATCGTTATCATACCTAAAACAAATTAATAATAATTCTTTTTTTTTAATTTTAATTTTTAATATTCTCACCCGAGAATATTTTTTCAAATATCTTCAGACAGAGTGGGAGAGGGAGAAAAAGAGAGAAAGAGAGAGAGAAACAGAAGCATCAGTGTGAGAGAGACACAGTGAATGGTTGCCTCCCACATAACCCCGACCAGGACCAGGGACGAACCGCAACTGAGGTACGTGCCCTGGACCGGAATCGAACTTGTGACTCTTTGATCCGCGAGATGATGCTCTAACCGCTGAGCCAAACTGGCCAGGGAAATAATAATAATTCTTTTATATCATCCAGAAATTGCTCAAATTACTTACTGTCTCATAAATGTATTTTTACAGTGTTTTGAATTAAAATTCTAATAATAAGTGTATACATTGCAGTTGATTGCTATGTCTTTTAGATCTCGTTTAATCCATAGGTTTCTTGTAATTTTTTGGTTGCAGAAACTAGGTTTGTCCTATGGAGCTTCTCACCGTTTAGATTTTGTTGATTGCATCCCTGTGGTGTTAACGTACTCCTTTATCCCTTCTGTATTTTCTGTAAATTGGTCCAAGATCAAGAGGTGTCATCATAGCCAGGTTCTATTTACTCGGCAAACTAGTCTATAGATGGTGCAGCTACTTCTATCAGGTGCACATAATATTTGAGGTTTGTCTTTTTGTCATGTTAGCAATTGTTGGTGCTCAATGCCTAGATCCAATCATTCATTAGGGGTTATAAAATAGGGATAGTCTAATTCATTACTTTCTTATTACCTTCACACCTTCTTCATTACTCATTCTAAAATGATATACTTCTTACTATTGGTCACCCAAAGGTACATTTTGTATGGGATTGGTAAGAGAAATGCTTGATTCTTTCCCTCTAGTTCCTAGTTTTCAAGATAATTCATTTGTTCCCTTGCATTCTCCAATGCAGACAACTAAGGTTTTTAGTTTGTTTTGTTTTTTTTTTAATCCTCACCTGAGGATACTTTTTTCCCTTTTATCTTCAGATAGAGTGGGAGAGAGACAGGGGGAGAGAGAGAGAGAAACATCGATTTGAGAGAGAACATCGACTGGTTGCCTCCCTCACAACCCCAACCAGGGCCGGGGACAAACTAAAACCATGGTAGGTGCCCTTGACCAGAATCGAACCCAAGACGCTCTGGTCTGCGGGCCGACGCTCCAACCTCTGAGCCAAACCAGCCAGGGCAAGTTTGTTTGAGATTTTTTTTTTTTTTTGTAGTATTATGAACTCACGGATTTAAACATATTTGATGGATTTCAATCCACTGCAGTTTCTATCCTTAGTGATGCTTAAACTTTCCATCTTTGGCTGGCAGGAGTCTCTCCAAGTTGGCTCCTGAGTTATTTTGACAATTTCTACCCTTTTTAAAGAAAGAACAGAACTTCTATATTCACATGAGTATTTTTATCTTCAAGGTTTTACTCTACAACAGTGTTACTCAAAGTGTGGGCCTTAGGCAACACCTGTGAGCTTGATAGACCATCAAGTTGATGGGCCCTTTCCTGGCTTAGTGAATTAGAGACCGAAGTTTAACAAATTCTCCAGGTGATTCTTATGCAAATTGAAGTTTGAGAACCTCTGCTCTCCTAGAAGAATTGACTTTAGAGGGTCGCCTTCCTCACTTAAGATCTCTAGCTCTTCAGGAGTTTCTCACCAGAAATGGCCACCACTCTGTTCTTATTGGATATCCTCAGAGGGTACAGTCATCGTTGAGGGTTAATTCTGACATTTTTGGAACAACCAAAAGTCAACTGATAGTCTAATAGGTGAATGATAAATCTGGTTAATAAACTCTTTAGATCCAAAAATTCCTATTTGGTTATATAATAACTGATTTTCATAAGTGGCCTTAGAAAGTTGCCATGATGAAAGCCCTGGCCGGTTTGGCTCGGCGGTTAGAGTGTCGTCCTGCGGTCCGGAGAGACCCGGGTTCAGTTCCTGCTGAGGGCATGTACCTCGGTTGCAGTTTGTCCCCAGCCCTGGTAGGGTCCTGCGAGTGGCAACCACTCGATGTGTCCCTTTCACGTCGATGTTTCTCTCTCTCTCTCTTCCTCTCTCTTGCTCCCACTCTATCTGAATACGAAAAAAATGTCCTCAGGTGAGGATAAAAAAAGAAAGTTGCCGTGATGAAAATTTCAAAAGGATTATGCCAAAATGTTTTGAGCAACAGTGGTATTATAATCATTGAAAGTGGAGTTCTTGGGGTGCCTTGAGGAAAAGAATTTCCTGAAGCCCCCATGGAAGGATAGGGGTTCTTTATTGATTATGTGAAATTAAGGGAGTTCCCCTCCAAGTTCCCATCTCTGTCTGTCTCACCATGGAAGAAGTCCAATCTTGTCTTCAGCAGGGCCAGAATTAAGGCCACTTCCCAGAATATATGTTCCATACCAAAATACAATCCAATATGAAGAAATGCTCAACATCACTAATCATCAGAGAGATGCAAATTAAAACAACAATGAAGTATCACCTCACGCCTGTCAGAATGGCCGCCATCAACAAATCATCAAACAAGTGTTGGCGAGGGTGTGGAGAAAAGGGGACTCTAGTACACTGCTGGTGGGAATGCAGACTGGTGCAGCCACTATGGAAAACACTATGGTGTTACCTCAAAAAGTTAAAAATTGAACTGCCATTTGACCCAGTGATCCCACTTCTAGGAATATACCCTAAGAAGCCTGAAACACCAATCAGAAAGAATACATGTACCCCTATGTTCATAGCAGCACTATTTACAATAGCTAAGATCTGGAAACAGCCCAAGTGTCTATCAGTAGATGAATGGATAAAAAAATGGTGGTACATATACACAATGGAGTACTATGCAGCTGTAAGAAAGATCTCTTATCCTTTGAGACAACATGGAGGGACCTGGAGAGTATTATCCTAAGTGAGACAAGCCAAGCAGAGAAAGACAAATATCACATGATCTCACTTATTTGTGGAATATAATGAACCTAACAGTCTGAGGAACAGGGTAGACCCAGAGACGTGGAAGTAGGGTATAGACTGACAACCCTCAGAAGAGGGCGTGGGGGGAGGGAAGAGATAAACCACAGAATTTATATGCATGTACACATAACCGATGGACACGGACAACTAAGTTGGGGATGGGGTGGGGGGATGGGGAGGAGGGTCTCAATGGGGAAAAAAGGAGAAACATCTGTAACAAAAATAAATTAATTAAAAAAAAAAGTGCAGTCTAGTCCAGCATCTGGATAAGCTTAGCTTGTGTTCCCAGCTACAGTCCATTTGGGGGGTGGGGGCACATGGCTATGGAGAGAGAACAGGCAAGTGCACGGGCAAATGCAGATGATGGAGCAAGAGAAAAAAAAAGGGAAAGGGAATTTTGCTTAAGGAGTTTAACTTTCCAAGATTTTGAATGCTTGCAGAGGCTCCACCATCCTAACCAATGATCTTTTTCCCAGGCTAGACCGACAGGCAAGCACCTTCCCTACATCACTCTGACTTCACTGTGCATGGGTCCATCTCCCCCTTCATTCAATCCCATTCCCCAGTGGTCTGCAGGGAATGGACTCGTGGTTCCCTGCAGAATGTGAAGCTGTAGCTTCCTGGTGAAGCTGCCCAGATGACCAAGCTTATGTCTGGCCTCCCCTTTGCTCTCTCTTCCTATTATTAATATTAATAAACTAGATAATTACAATAATAACACTATTATATGTGCTAGGGACTGCCATGGTTTAATGCTAATGGTTTTGCTCTTTTTGAGTGTCTATGCTTGACTAGGTATGGTGATGTTATCCAGACTATTTTTCAGAAATAAAGAATTATTTTATTATTATTATTATTTTTTAAATCCTCGCCTGAGGTTTTCCATTTATCTTCAGATAGAGTGGGGTGGGGGGAGGCATCGATGTGAGAGAGACACATCGACTGGTTGGCTCCCACATGACCCCGACCAGGGCCGGGGACCCAACCACAACCGAGGGATGTGCCCTTGACTAGTATCGAACTTGCAACTCTTTGGTCCATAGACCGACGCTCTAATCACTTGAGCCAAACCGGCCAGGGCAGAAATCAAGAATTATTTATGTGCTTTCCTATGCTTGTTTCCTTGCTTACTCAAAAGAATTTCTTCTTGTAGCAAGGATGGGCTTCTGTGGAAACACATTGACTGTATATAGTTCCTCTCAAGCACCATTAGTCAGTCATTCTACTTAAGAAGACTAGGTGTTCAAAATTATTGCTTTTGGACATATTGAAGGTTTTTACATAGCCGGATTCTTGGGAAATATACACTAATAGGGTCTATTCCTTTCAATGCAAACAAAATAGAGATCCATGGGAAAAAAAGAGAGAGTAATAGTTCGGGGGTCAAAACCCATGTCTTAATAAAGTCTCTCATCATCTCTGCTTTACTGTAGTGGTTCTCAACTTTTTTTTTTTTTTTGGTTCAGCATTTTAAAAAGTCTTGATACTGTGCCCAAGCCAAAGAAGCCAGAATCTCTAGGAGGGGTGAACCTGGCCTCTGGTTTTGAAAGCTCCCGGTGATTCTAATGTACAGCCAAGGTCGAGAAACCTGTGAAGTGAAGCACAGACAATGAGAAACTTTAAGCGTGAACTTAGACCACTAAAGTGTTAGGCTCTGTTTTTTCAAGAATAAGATATTTGGTATACTTGTGAGCCTTTGGAAAGGTCATCTCATTAGCACCACCTGACAGTATTCAGAGGTTTACATTTCACTCACAGAGAACATAACTTAATGAATCCACTTCTGCTTGCATTATGGAGGGGGAACCCATCGAATGCTACTTTTTGGAAGATTTGTTAGAGGATGTGTAGACATTATCTCTATTTATTTATTTATTTATTTATTTATTTATTTATTTATTTTTATTGAGAGGGGAAGAGAGAGGGAGAGAGAGATAGAAACATTGATGAGAGAGAACGACTGGCCGCCTCCTGCATGCCCCCCACTGGGGATCAGGCCCACAACCTGGGCATGTGCCCTGACCAGGAATCGAACTGGCAACCTCTTGGTGCATGGGTCAACGCTCAACCACTGAGCCACACTGGCCGGGCTGGAGACATTATCTTGAACGAGTGTTTCATGATGATATTGTCTACTAGCACCTATGACTGAGTCAAATATAGGATTCATAGGGGCTTAATAAAAGGTATTTATCTAGCTAGTTTATATCAATAAACATCAAACTAAATGAGAAGCTTTCAACATGAAGGCTATCCAAAGAGAACAAACCAAACAAAGCATGGGAAATGTTGAGCTTCAGGGGCAGCATACAATGAGCAGGAGCAGGGGCTTTGAACTCCAACAGGTCTGGGTTTGAAACTCAGCTCTGCCACGGAACTTGGGCAAATTACTTAACCTCTCTAAGCATAGACTCTTATCTGCAAACCTGGTACAGTGCCTGTGCCTGACACAGAGTAGTGTTTCATACATTACTAAGTATTAAAATTACAGATGATGCATTTATTGTTCGAATGAGATGAGATGAGATACCAGGTCCAGCTCATGCTAAGGAAAGTGTGGTAGGCAGAATACTGCCTACACTGTACAAAGATGTCTACACTCTAATTCCCAGAACCTGGAAGTATGTGACTTTACATGGTAAAAGGGATTTGACAGATGAGATTAAGTTAAAGATCTTGAGATGAGAGTGATTATCCTGGATTATCCAGGTGGGCCCAGTGTCATCAAAAGGGTCCCTTCAAGTGAAAGAGGTAGCAGGAGAGTTAGAGAAACTGTGACTACTGAAGCGAACAGAGGTGGAGTGATGCAATTGCTGGCTTTGAAGATGGAAGGAAGAGGGCCATGAGCCAAGTAATGCGGATAGCTCTGGAGGCTGGAAAAGGCAAGGAAACAGATTTTCCCCTAGAACCTCCTGAGGAAATGCAGTCTTGCTGGTACATTGATTTTAGCTCACTGAAACCCATTGCAGACTTCTGACCCCAAGAACTTTAAGATAATACATTTGTGTTGTTTTAAACCACTACTTTTGTGGCAAATCGTTACAATAGCAATAGAAAACAAATACAGAAGATTAAACTAAATCTCTCTTTGAGCATTTAAAGATTCTGAGTGCAGATTTGCAAGATGAAGATTTCACTTTGGACTCCATGCCATTCACAATTGAGTAGTATAAAGTCCAAGGGTTGCAATAATAGTTTACTTGTTAATAGATTTATCCATCCGGCATCAGGGTCTTGATTACTCACTTGCCAGTCAAGTGCATTTGTGTCACATTGAGAAGGTCCCAGGCATACTCCTCAGGACTCTGCAGTATTTGCTGCAGTACCAGGAAACTGACCGGGGAGAGAGCAACAAGAAAGAGAACTGGTTATGGCAGATCAATAACCAAGAAAGACAACTCTTTAGGAATATCAGACATGTAGATTTGGTCAATTATTCTGAGGGACAGTTTGATAATACTATCAGAAAACATGTATATAAAACCTGAAAATGCAAGTACTCTGACTCAGCAATTGTACATGTAGAGAAATTTATCCTAGGGGAAAATCTGGATTAGTATGCATATCATTCACCTGCTTAAAAAAAAATCATTTCGTGGTTCCCATAGTTGCTTATAGGATAAAACTTGGAGAGACTGAAGGGCGAGAGCAGTACATCCACTTACATTGGATAATTAAGACTGGCTTGTGTTTGTACTGGCCATAGCTTGGTTTAGACTTGAACTTGGTAAGATTATCCTCAACGGTCCCTGAGCCACCTTTGCTACATTTGATCTTTTTCATGGAAATTACTAAAATGGTGATTGTGACTAACAGTTCCAATGTTAACTTGGTGCCTGCCCTTGAACATTTATTATAACTATTATTCAATTTTGTGGCTTAAATAAATTAAAAATATTATATGTCTGTGTAATTGAACCACTAAGGGTTGAAAATTACCTATATTCTTACTTATCCACTGACATTCAGATAATCTATTTGGCATGCAAAAGTTGTGAATCCAAATTATGCTCAAAACCAAGTGAGAAATCATTATTCATTTTTTTCTGTATTATCTGTTTCAGCCATATGTCTGGACCCAAACCCCATCAAGGAGGGACCAAAATTTATACAACATTCTTGAGTATGATGACGGCTGCATTTGGAGTTTTGATTATACTGCACTACATGTGTGATTATTACTTGTAAACAGATGATTAGATATTAATTAGACAATAAGTGATTGTAAAGTACTTAGAAAATAAAAGTGTTTATAAATACCACCAAGTAATAGCAACAATAATTCTTCACTGACTACACAGCTGCTAATGTCAATAAGAACGATTTATTCTAGCTAAGGGCAACTTTAATTTATGCAAAATAAAAAGCTGTTATCATATCTGTTTTGCTACAGCAAAACAAAATATATCATACAGATTTTATCATCATCATTTAGATAAATATATCTTATTTTGATTAAAACAACTTATCTATTTTAGGACCTTCTCTAACACAGGCACAACCATCATGGTATGGTGTCTTTGAGTGCCAAGAACTCATGTCAAATATTCATTTCCTTTAAATAGAAGATATAAGATGACATTTCATTAGTGGAATTTGCATTCATGCAGTAGGTTTGTCCTGTTAAGTCTGTGCAGTTGCTCCCCAGCACCTTACAACTATCCTTAAGCTCAATAAATTCTGGTCAAATGAATGAGTGAAAGTCATTTCTTCTTTGGTTATTGTGGAAGCTAGATAAAGGGGGAAAAATCCATGTGAAGAACAAACTAAAGTACTTTCATTCAATTTTCCTGATTTTGTTTATCAAAAAATAAGTTTTGAAGCTCTGACTACTTTTTATGTCTGACCATTATTTTTTTCCCTTAATGGCCCTTATAGGTCATAGACCTGTAGCAACCTGGCTCTTGACCCACCAGTGAATCTGGCAATGCGTGTGTTTATTTTTCTGTCATAAGTGAATTCAAGCACCAATAATGAGTCCAGGTCCATGGTTTCAGAGCTATGAAATGAACCTAATAAATACAAGTGAAGAGTGCTTCATGTTACATGAATTCAGTAGAAGAGGAGTAAAGGGGTTATTTTGGATGATGAGATACGCATGAATTAGCAACCTTGTTAACAGGGCAAATACAACTGTATCAAAGAGTGTGGCAGAGCCCTGGCCAGTGTGGCTCAGCTGTGTGGAGTGTCATCCTGTGCACCAAAAGGTCTTGAGTCTGATTCCCGGTCTGGGCACCTGCCAAGGTTCAATCCCTGGGTGGGGTACGTGCAGAAGGTAGCCGATCCGTGCGATCCGTGCGTGTCTCTCATACTGATGTCTCTCTCTCTCTCTCCCTTTCTCCTTCTCTAAAAAAAAAAAAAAAAAATCAGTTAAAAAAAAGTGAGGCGGGATCAGGAAGAGGGTGTCTATGGAAGGAAAGAGGAGAAACATCTGTAACAAAAATAAATTAATTTTTAAAAAAGTGAGGCCCTGGTCAGTTTGTCTCAGTGGTTAGAGCGTCGGCCTGCGGTCCAGAGAGACCCGGGTTCGGTTCCCACTAAGGGCACATACCTCGGTTGCAGTTTGTCCCCGGCCCTGGTTGGTCGTGCGGGTGGCAGCCACTCAATGTGTCTCTTTCACATCGATGTTTCTCTCTCTCTCTTTCTCTTTCTCTCTCTTTCTCCCATTCTATCTGAGCAAAAAATGGAAAAGTGTCCTCGGGTGAGGATAAAAAAAAAAGTGAGGCAGTGTGGTGGAAAATAGAGTAAACTTTGATTCAACAGACCTGGATTCAAGTGATACTTCTGCCATTTACTGTGGGACCCTGCTCATGTCACTTAACCTTTCTAAATCTGTTTACTCATTTGAAAATTTTCGTTATTAATAGCTGTCAATTTCAGAGTGCTATTATGATATAATTCAATGTGTAAAAGCACCAAGTGAGGGGTGAAATGCTTTATAATGAAAAAAAAAAACACATTATTACCATAATTTTCCTGGAGTGGATGAAAAGGATATATGTATGGGTTTCATTACTTAGTATAGTGGAATTTTTTTTTTTTTTTTTTTTTGGACTATGTCAGGATTTAGGCCCAAACCATAAGTCATGTGTGGAAAACTGGGAAGTGGCTCAAAATAGAACCATGAAAGTAACAAAATTCCATAGAATGTAATAATGGTTTCCAGGTAACCTGTCATTATTTGGTCAACTTTGCCATTCTTTTTCCTATCTCTTCTTTCTTTGTGATACATTTCTGATGTGGTGAACCCTGGAACAGTGAGAAAAATGAATAAAGAAGAAAAAGGAGACATGAGGGAATCAGTGGTGCCTTCAGTGATGGTAAGGGGGAAGGACATGGGAGGAAGGAGGTTTTACATATGGCCTTGATAAGTATTAAGAGCAGTGTAATACACGTAGGGGCATATAAACTGTAGCTAAATAATTTAAAATTTTCACTATGCTTGATCTAATACTTTTATACAATGGGTATACAATTTCTAGCAGCATGACTAGATTAAAGATTGAAAAATAAAAGGGAAGGGTATTGTTAAAGAAGAAAAAGCTTAAATGAAATGCCTACCTAAAAATAGACTTTTCTATACCATGTTATGACTCATTTTGATCCACGTGTAATGATATGAAAGGTATTTCACCATAAGAAACAGATTATATGTAAACTTTATGATGGGACATTGAAGTAGACCCTCAGTTGGAGGTCTCCTAGAGCAGCGGCTCTCAACCTGTGGGTCATGACCACTTTGGGGGTCGAACGACCCTTTCACAGGGGTCTCCTAAGACATAACAGTAGCAAAATTACAGTTATGAAGTAGCAATGAAAATAATTTTATGGTGGAGGGCCACAACACGAGGAACTGTATTAAATGGTTGCGGCCTAAGGAAGGTAGAAAACCGCTGCCCTAGAAGAAGATGCAGAGACAAGGATTCAAGTTCAAGTAGTTGATTTGGGAGGTGAGGCCAGGAAACAACCACACGAGGGTGGGCGAGTGAGATAAGGAAAGGGCTCACTGTCAAGCCAGCTACCACCATGGTGAGTGGAAATTAATGCCCCTGGGGAAGTCTGGAGTCACGTAGAAGACTTGGGTATTTGTACATTCACTCCTGTCAGTCATTGATTGAGAACTCTGGAGGTTTAGGCCCTGCCTCGGTGGTGGTGTGGGGGAAGGGAGCAGGGGTTTCCCCTGGCCAGAGAAAGTCCTCAGGCAGAGATGCAGGTGCTGGAAGCTGGCATCTGGCCAGGTGTTCACCACAATGATAAGGTCTGAGGGGATCAGTTAGAGCTCAGCCGGCCTCTGCTCCGAAGGGATTATTTTAGTTCTCCCCTGCAGATCTCTGGGAATGGTATTTTCAGCAATTTGTTGTTGCTGAAGTGAGTATCGCTTGTGGGAAGAATGATGTCATGTGTAGGACTCTTCTAAACTGAAGTAAAGGGCTCCCTGACTTGGTTTTCTCATCTGCAAAATGGGTCAACTCTGTTTATCTGATCAGGTATTGTGGGCATGACAAAAGCCCATGGTAAGTCTCTGGGAAGAACATAAGAGGTAGTGAGTAAATGGTAGAGAAAAAGATGATGCGGTTTGTGAGGGGCAGCAGAGCTAACAAGTCCTCACCCCAGCCACGCCCTACTTGCAGAGGTTGCAAGACTCAGGAGCCCTGTCCCCACGTGGTCCCTGGGGATTTTCTGAACATCCAACCTCCAGTGGGTTTCCTCTGCTTCTGTTAACTGAGGATAGGACCCCCCGCCCCACAGCTTTGTTCCTTCGTTTCGGCTTTCTTGTTTCCTCTCACTGTGTCCTTGCACCTTTCTATTTCTCACGTGCTAACCTCTGCCTGCCTCATCCCCACCTGGTACCCAGCCCTCTATGCCTTGGGGAGGAGAAGTAATGGTTTTTGTTTTTGTTTTTTTTCTGACTATAAGGGCAATATATGCTCTAATTTTTTAAAAAATTATTTAATGTTTTCCATCACCATTTATCACCCATACCTTGTTATGCTCTTATTTTTATTCATTTGTTATTTTATTTTTAAATAACTATTCAGTGCCAGCAAAGACTATAAATGATTTTTTTAAAAAATATTTTTGCTTTATTGATTTTAGAGAGAGGAAAAGAGAGAAAGAGATAGAAACATCCATGTGAGAGAGAAACATCCATAGCTGCCTCCTGCATACTCCCTACTGGGGATTAAGCCTGCAACCCAGGCATGTGCCCTGACCAGGAATCGAACCAGGACCTCTCAGTCCATGGGACGATGTTCAATCCACTGAGCCACACTGGCCAGGCTATGCTCTTTTTTTTTTTCCTTCATTGATTTGAGAGAGGAAGTGAGAGGGAGAGAGAGATAGAAACATTGATGAGAGAGAATACCGACTGGCCGCCTCCTGCGCGCCCCACACCGGGGATCGGGCCCACAACCTGGGCATATGCCCTGATCAGGAATCGAACCGGTGACCTCTTGGTGCATGGGTCAATGCTCAACCACTAAGCCACACTAGCAGGACTATGCTCTTAAATACTTGTTATAAACAGGAAAATATAAAAAAGAAAACAAATCCCCATAATCCCAAAGTTTAGAGATGCCACTGTTAGCATCGTGGTATATTTGCCTCCAGTACTTTTTCTAGGCATGTACATAAGCATAATTGGAATCATTTGGGGGGAATATATTTTGGGGCCCACTTTTCTCACCTGATGTAATGTTAACATGTCCTCATAACATTAGAATTTCTTCCAAAGCATGACTCTTAATGCATGTATAAAATGTTATATTAATGTATTTTACTTTTATTTTAACCCTTTCTCCTATTGCTGTAAATTTTATCTCTTTTTTTTTTTTTTGCCTTTTATAAGTAATTCTGCATTAAGCATCTTTGTCCATAATTATTTGTGTGCTTTTCTGATAATTCCTTGGGGATAAATTCCCAAGGGGAATCCCTGGGTCAAAGGGTATGAACGTTCTAAAGGCTGTTAGTGGGCACTGACAAATGTCCCTCATGGCATTTTTAACAATATTAATACATGTATAGATTTGTGTAACTATTACCATAATCAGGATATGAACAATCCCATCATCCCAGTAATCTCTCTTCTGCTGTCCTTTATAATCATCCCCTTCCCCCCAATATAACTCCTAGAGGGTTATGGAATATTTAATTCCATAGTGTGAAATTAACTGGCCATTCTCAGCTAATCATATTCATAGCATTACTAAGTCCCAAGTTAAAATAACCCATTCAGGTATTATGAAGATGTTCCTTAATCAGGTTGCAATAACAGCCAAGACTCTGTCCCTGGAGTGAGTGGATCTGGTAAGGAGCCCTCCAAGAGTAGTGCCTGACAGTCTATTTCTACCCATTAGGACTGTGAGACATACTGAGATTCAACCTCTGGGCTGTGGGGCAAGGGGCATGAGGAAGCCAAGACAAGGTTGGAGTGGGATTAGTTGGAATGGAATTGCTAGTAGTTATAGACAGAAATCTAAATTCTGAGGTTCAAAAACTTAGACTGAATATGTGTCAATAATAACTTGGATTTAACACAGTGGCACTGATAGGTAAGGATCTGACTTGGGTGACACAATGAAGATACTCATCCTAGGCAGAGGCAGCGTCTTGGTTTGATGGAACTGGGGAGGATGCGGGAGGAAGGGGGCATCTGCCCACTTTGATACAAAAAAGGCTGGTAGGGGTGATAAGGGCATGGTCTAGGTTCTTGGGCAAGAGGGGTTGACAAGGACTCTGCTAGACATCAGGACTCTGATAAATAAGCAAGTGAACAGGCAAGCCTCTCATTCTAGAGAGGGAACTAGAGCATCAATTAGGAATCAAGCTGGCAGCTCAATGACCCAGAATACAGTGGGGGTTAGGTACTTTCCAATGAGATCATGTGGCTCTAGGCAGTAGGTCTCAAATTTTTGTATGTGGCAGAATGCCTCCAAAACCTGGAGGTTTCATTAAAACAGATTCTTGGTCTCCACCACCTAAGTTTCTGATTTAATAGGTCTGGGGTGGACAGTGATAATTTCTGACAAGTTCCCAGGGGTGCTGCTGCTGCTCCTTTGGGGACCACACTTTGAGCTATTGCTGTAGGGCAAAGAAAATATTGAAATTAGATGGACAATCTCACTCGTATATTACTCAGCATGGGTAGGAAAGGGACTCTAATATGTATTGAAGGTCTTGGTAGAGTGAAACTTGCAGCTCAATGTGTTTTGTGCTTCCAAGGAGGCAGGTAGGACGAAAGGAAAGGGTAGGAAGTGGGCAGGAAGACCTCTTTTTAGATGACTCAAGTGTCACTGGAATTCTTGCATCACTGGAGTTCTCTCAAGCATTGCTAATAAGATGTCAAGTGATGTCATTCTGATTTAAATCCATTTTCTTCTTTTAAGGCTAACTCTGATTACTTGAAGAGTAATACAAAATAATGCTCCCTTACATTAGTATAGCACATTCCAGTTTTCAGAGTGCTTTCACATGATATCTTATTTGAGCTCCCAAATTCTGTGAGGTAGGCAGGGCAGGTCTTTTTATCCCATCCTTTGGACTACTGGTTCTCAAAGTATGGTCCCCGGACCTGCAGGGTCAGTGTCACCTAGGAACTTGTTAGAAATGTGAATCCTGGCCCCTCCCCAGGCCTACTCAACCAAGTCTTGGGGGCAGGGGGAGGGCAATCATTTGCATTTCTAACAAGTTCCAGGTGATGCTGATATTGGTGCTGCTGGTCCTGGACCATGCTTGCGTGAAAACCACTGCTATAGATTAAATGAAAGATCTGGAAGCCCAGGGACCTGTTTTAAGAGGACTCCCACCTAGGTGCTTTTTCTATACCTACTGCATCGCCTGGCCCAGACCCCATCCTTCCAATTCCAACTCTATTGCTTATCAGTTTGAGGCCCTGAGCAGTTCCTCTAAATTGCAACTTCCTCACCTGTAAAATGGGGATAATAAGATCAACTTCTTTGGGTTTTTATTAACATTAAATAAGATCTAGGTAAAGTATTTAGCACTGTGCCCGTGCTTAAAAAATACTAGCAATTACCATGACTTTTATTAATGTTATTAAAAGTGAGATATTTTACTAGAAGGAATACCTTTGTAAGTTCTTTTGAGTGTACCTTCCTCTTAAAATGGGGGTTATTCCTGGCCGATTTAGACATTAGGTTACTTCCTCTTTAACACGCTGTCTGGGGTGTTTCTGTGACTGCCATGAGCATTTGCTGAGAGCTGTGTGCTTAGGAGATGGAGCAGAGGAAACCAGCGTGTGGAACAACGTGTGGAAGGGCAAACAACAGCGACTCGACTGAGGAAACAGAATAGGGGACCAGGTGGGGTATGGCTGAGGGAGGGAGCAATTGGAGAGGGCTGTCAGAGGTGAGAGGTAGGTTATCAAAAACAGTCTACCTCCTTCAAAGTTTCCCGCAGGGCTAGGCTCCAGGAGTTGAAGCCAGGCCTCAGGGGATCTGCCCTGCTCTTGTTGCAGTTAAGAGGGTGACCGCTCAGGTGCCCACAATAAATGCCCTGAGAGGTCCTTCGAGGCTAGCTGACAATTGTGGGCACAGGGAGTTTGGGCTCAAAAGTGGTTTTGTCTTCAGAGTGACTCCTGTTTGGCAAAATTCTGACTAGGGCACATCAAACGCTCAGGCCAGGGACATGGTCCTTTTTTAGCGGAGGTCTGCAATGTTCTTTCTCCAGGCGTCCTGCCTGCGTCTCCGGAAGCTGCTGTATCTTATCAGGGTAGTGCAGCCCGGGTCCCTTGCCCCGAGTTGACCGAAACCTTTGCAAGAGAATTAAAGAAAAGAAACAAAAGCAGCAAGTTCGGGCCCCGTGGGCACAGCCGGCCACCAATGAGGCCCGGCCGCTCCCTGGCGGAGTGGTACTATGATGACAGTAGCCAATCAGCGCGCGCCATGCAAATGAGGTACTGTATCCCGCACCGCTGCTCCAGTGCCGTCTGCTTGTTCTAGTGATAAACTGAGGCCTTGCCTCTCGGCTTCTCCCAGAACGAAAGGGGTGGGGGTGGGGGGTAACCGCTTTGCTTCCCCCAAGGATAGACAGAAAGAAGGGATGAAGAAGGGGGATGGGTAAGGAAGAGAAAAATACGTGACAAAGAAAACATTCTCTGCCTGGGAGGAGACTGACAGAGGGTGTAGAGCTGGAGGGAGCATTCGCTGGCCATGCCAGTACTTACCACTGATGCTGAGTCAGAAACAGGTATCCCAAAATCCCTTTCCAATGAGCCTCCCTCAGAAACCATGGAGGAAATAGAGCACACATGCCCACAGCCTCGACTGGTAAGTAAAGACAAAGGATGCAAATGTATGCGTGGCTATGGCACAAAAGAGTTCCTTATGCGCCCGCAGCCTGCGAGGGAAAAGATGCTTAGAGGATTTTCATGTAAATGAGAATGGAGCTACCGCCTAATCCTTCTCATCTGTTTATATTTAGCTGCTCTACCCAGCGCTGCTCTCCGCTTACAAAGCATTATTGTACCGGCTGGGTAGGAGACGGGCTGCTTGGTCTCTGCTGTGTTTTTGTGCCTGGGGAGGAGGGGATGGCCTTTTTTCCTTTTAAGTGTGTTCTCGTCTGAAGATTAAAAAAAAAAAAAATGCTACAGTGCAATTTTAAAAAATGGTATTCTCTTCGCAAAGCTCGGGACGAGTCCGTTAAGTTCTCAATTCTAGTTAAGGAATGATGCAGTCCTCAACTAATGTTGGTGCCTAATGTTTGGAAAAATAAAAACGACATGGAAGCAAACTTCCCCATTCGTTTGAAAATTTCAAAATAACTAAGTGAAAGAGTCCCTCGATGATGTATTTAGAAATAATGTATGTCTTAAATGAATTGTAAGCATTTCCGGGTGTGCTGTCAGGGTTTTTCTTCAAGTATGGGAAGCTGGGGAAGCTACATTTACTTAGCAAGGGGCTGCATGCCTTTAACAAGTGCAAACGGGGCGCTCAGAGCGTCCTTCCTTCTGAGTAACTGGTTTTCACCACCAGCGTGTGTCCTCAAAAACACCAATAGGTAGTAGGTTTTCTGTGGTCTGAAGTCTTGTGGAACTTGGGGAGACCCCTCTTTGAATCCTCAGATCCAAGCTATACACTAGTTAGGGCTGTCTTCTCTCTAGAGATTTCCCTCAAGTTAAAAGGTGCAATATTTTGATTGGCTGTGGAGTTTGACCCTGGGAAGTGGAGGGTTTTATTAATTGTTTCTTAAGGATTTTGTGTTGTAGCATTTTCTGTGAACTCCCCAAATGAGGGCTCACAGATTCCAAAGCCAGCCCATTATGAAACTTATTTCTTCATAAGGATTAATAAGGGTTCAAAGGCAGGCTTAGAACAATTTCCTAATACATGAAAACAGAGGAAGTTATAACAGAGCACTGTGGGCTTTTTTTTCACTGTGCTTCTGTATATTAAAATATATTTTTAGGGCAATTTGATATTAACTGTTCCCCAGCACTTGAAGCCACTTACTGAACAACATACACAATGTAGTACCTATGTTCTCATAGGATACAAACCATCCCAACAAGTTTGTTACCAAGGGATTCCTTTGAGCCAATAAACATCTCATGGTTTAGCATAGAAAAAAAATTGATCTCTAAAAACTTGTTAGAAGATCACCCAAAAATATTTTTAAAAGTTAAACCCAATGTTCAAATTTACATCACACTTCTTCCTGACAGGTAGGTAAAGGGTAGGGGAGAGAAAGGCAGCATCCAATTCCATTTTGTATATCGGTTCAATCTCTTGTGCAAACTTCTTTTCCTTCCCTTTTTGCCTTTTAGCTATTGTGCTCCTTGCTTGCTTCTGCCTGAGAAGGTAGGCAGAGGAAATCAAGGGAAGGGAGAAAGTTCAAGTACTTTTCACTTTCACTTGTGACAGTTCATCCTGGAGTTAACTCACAAGAACCATGCAAAGCTGGTTATACTTCCATCTACCCGCTGCTTTAGAAATGAGGAAACTGAGGTTCAGAGAGGGTAAGGGACTTCTCCAAAGTCACATTGCTATTGCTTTGAAGGGGTAGATCTGGGATTTGAACCCAGAGCTCTATACCTGCAAAATGGAAGATCTTTCCCTAAAACACACTCTCAAGTAAGATACATTCCCTTCCCAGTTCTAGCTTAAAGAGTGTGTGTGTGTGTGTGTGTGTGTGTTTATGAAGGATGTACAGAAGTTCTATCGTTAAAGTGATTGCCTTGATCCACCTTTTCATAAAACTGTTCCATGTTGTCCATTGTTCTCATGGTCTACTGAAAATTGGCTGTTTAAATAGGGACTGCAACCAATTTATAAACCACTACACTAACTTTTTTGAAGCACCTTTTCTCTTATCAGCAAACTTTGATCACTGTATTCTAAATTTTGATTTACACTTCAGAGCCCAAGTTTCCTTTGCTAATGACTTGACTTTAATAATGAAGGCACATGTTAACTACTTAATAACAAAGTTTGTTCATGAAGACAGTGAGTGGCAAGTGAAAATGCTCAATGTGCATTTCTTTTTAAGGTTTTTAGTACTTGCTGTTGATCTTTAGCTTTGCTAATGTCTTCATATTTCAAATGATATAAATTCGGTGTTTCTTCCCGCACCCAAGCATATCGTCCGAAATTACGTGTGGGTCACAGGTGGCACAACTGTCTGCAATGTGTGGCTGCTGAGTTGCTTAGCTAACTTTGGAAAGTGCATGAAAGACTTGAGAGATTCGCCTGCAGAGGACAAGCTCCTTCTTCCAATTATCACCAAATTTAAATTCATACAGTTTAGAGAAAACAGGACTCAATAACAAAGCATCATGAAAAGAAAAGTAGCAATTACCAAAGTGGTTCTCATTGTATTAGCCAAGGCACACACTGGCTCCCCAAATTCACTTTAACTTTTCCTGGGGATAATGGAAAAGGAAATTTTTGAGTATATAAGGGCTATAAAGTTTTACTACAAGTCCCAGAATGTGAACTTACGTCACTGAATGTTAGTGTCGGTAAATACAGGTTTTATTTAAATCTCAGCAATTGTGTAAAATGCCTTTTTTTTGTAGTAAACTGGGCTCTCTGTTTAGCATGGCACTCGAGAAGGTGTGTACAGTGTTCGTATCTACATGTGTCTGTCTCTATGTTATTTACAGTTGAGGTTATCTATTGTGATCCAGTTTAACTCAGCCCTCATTGATTGAGTACTTACTAAGTGCTGAGCTCTGAGCCCTCACGTACTTTGTGATCTAGAGATTCGAGAAGAGACTGAAACATAAACAGATAGTTTCCATGCAGGTTGATAAGGGCACAGCGTGCTAAGAATTGTGTTACCAGGTGCAGTGGGGACAGAAAAGAGAGTACTGAACTCCCTGACAGCGAGTCAAAGTTTGCCACGGGGATGTTGAGTAGAAACCTGTCTTGTCATCACTGTATCTCTGGTCTGTAATACAGAGCCTGGCATAGCTCTTTAAGGAAATTAAGTGGGAAGCTGGCATATCTAAATAAAGAGGATTTTAAAGCACTCTATATTTTAGATCCGTGTAAGTAGCAAATTGATAAGGATATTGAGGATACAATGGAATCATGTTCAAGGGGAAATTTTTTCTGAAAGGTATACCTATAGTCTTTCCACCTGCCTTATTTTTCATGGAAGAAAAAAATAAGAAAGGAGAGGAGTAAGTAGAATTAAATAACACCGATAAAGACATTAGGCACAACCCTGGTCGATGGTGCAGTGGTTAGAGCATCTACCTGCAGAAGGAAGGGTCATGGTTTTGATTCCCAGTCAAGGGTGCATACCTGGGTTGCAGGTTTGATCCCTGGCCCCAGGTGGGGCGTGGCCGATTGATGTGTCTCTCTCACATTGAATTTCTCTCTCTCTTTCTCTCTTGCCCTCCCCCATTCCTTCCACTATCTCTAAAAATCAATGGAAAGAATATCCTCAGGTGAGGATTAACAAAAAAAGAAAGACAAAGAAAGAAAGAGAGACAAAGAAAGAAAGAGAGAGAGAGAGAGAGAGAAAGAAAGAGAGAAAGAGAGAAAGAAAGAGAGAAAGAAAGAAAGAAAGAAAGAAAGAAAGAAAGAAAGAAAGAAAGAAAGAAAGGAAAAGAAAAGAAATTAGGCAAATACAACAGTGTGGTGATGGCCAGAAGGAAGGGGGCGGGGGCAGGAGCTTGGTGTAGGGGCAAAGGGGGGGGGGGGAATGGAGACATCTGTAAAAGTGTCAAAGAAAAATATAATAATTTTAAAAATAGAAAAAGAAATTAAGAAAGAACAGAAGAGTACCTAGGCTTTATGAAAGAATTTATATTTTAGGAATGTAATCTTATTGCACTTGCTACTTTACCATGCTGCATGGGTGTGAGATGTTTTTTCTTTCCATTATTACAATGTTTATTCTTGATCATTGATTTGTTTTCTCTTCTTTGTTATTTTCTTGCTTGAACATGATGCAAGGTGACCCTTAAGCTTGACTGTCAAGAACAGAAACTGGGTAGCCTTGGGCAATATGATGTAACAGCCCTCCTTGGAGACCCAACTCCTGAGGGATGAGGACTCCTTGTGGGCAAGGGCTGCGTCCTCTTATTTCCCCAATCCTCAGATTTTGCCTTGACAAACCCTATGGGCACAGCAGGTGTTCCATAAACCCTTTCTAACAAGGCCCAACCACCCTGAAAGCAGTCTGCTTAAGGATTTGGTTAACAACCTTGGTCAAGTTCTTCTCGGAGTGCATTCTGCTGTCAGAAGGAAGTTGTAATTCTAGCCTGCAATATTCACTCTGTAAAGATGGATGTGCCACAGGTCAGCTGAGAAGGCCTTGGAAATAAAAACAGGCTGATTCAATATGCCACTGTAGCAGGAGTTCATTTCGGGCTTTACTTCAAAGGGGAGCAGTGCCAAGAGACTACTGTCTTGCAGAAGGTGCATTATGTCAGCTGAGAGGTATGATGCTCACTGGCTGGTGCTCCAAAAGATGATGGATTTCCAGAGACATCAGTGGCTTCCTTTACTAGTATCACCATCTATTTAGCCACTCAGAGCAGCATACATTTTAAAAGCGAGACACTTAATGTGCTGCGTTAGTGAAAGTAAACAAACATGGGCTTCCTTGGCCATTTACTGTGGTCAGCTGGAATTCTGCCCAAGGTTATTATTAGACATTTTCTTGCTGGTCTAAGTCCAAATGCAACATTCATTTCTTGCAGATTGATCATAGTCAGGGATATTGAGCATGGAATCAATGAATTTGTTTCTTCTATCCTTTTAAATGTGTTTTTTCACTACTCCTCCAACCAACCATTTGCTTAGTGCTAAATTCC